AGAAAAATACAAACTTTCTTGCGTCGGTGGATACTTTGTCATCGCATTTGCGGTGTGTATTATGAGGAATAAGTGATTTTATCAGAGAACGGTGACGTGTAACGGTTGGCAGACGCAAACGAGAAGAAAGTTCGTTACGCAGTGATATATCGGTTTTTCGTACGCGATAAACAACAACGGTGCTTGCGCGACCACGAAGGAAGAGAGAAAAAGAGAGATATACTCCCGATGGTCGTGTGTAACGTAAAAAGAATCGGCGGCGGCGTCCAGCTGTCGTGATATACATCGTACAGTTATGTTTCCTCGCTTGCGCGCATGTACCGTATGTGCGCCGCAGTCTCTAACGGATCCTCTCGTGGCAATTATTAAATCGCGACTCGCGGTCCGCGCGAAATTACCGCGATGCACCGCCGCTTTCTTGCGCGCGCGTGCTCGGGATTCTGTTATGCATTCACATAACACACACCTGGCGTCAACCTTGATGATGCTCGTTTTTTACCTCTTGCTTATTACACGCGGATGCATACATGAGCTGGCGCAAAAATTACGCGGTTGCATTTGACGAGCCGCGCTTTATATCACGCGCGCCTGGCTAGTGTATCATATTATTTTATTATTAGCGAAGACGCGCGGTCGCGTGTCTTCCCCGGGCGAAGTATCAATTTAGATAATAGCGTTGTGAAATTAGGGACGTCTTAGTAAATTCTTTACTTTATTTATTTGGCGATTGTTTTTCTTGTGAAATAAAAATTTGTTACAAAATGTATTTTTTTACATTGTCCGAGCAGTTTTTGTTCGAGATTTGAATTCGATATTCCGCGAGACGAAGAAACTTCTTTCTTTGTGCACGCGCGGCGTCTTCGAGAATAAAATGGTGATTGAACTTATTTTGGGATCGTCCGAAAGAGAGACTCGACCTCGCTCTCTCTCTGTTCCTCTTTCTCTCTTTTTCTTTCTGTCTCTTTCTCTCTCTCTCTCTATCTATCTCCCTTCCTTTCGTTAAACATTACACATATACACACTGGTATATTTCTGATCGCGGCGGGGGTGCGATACCACTACGGTTGCGTTGCAACCGGTTCGCGCTTTGTCGTGGGTAGATTTTAGGCGCAGCTGTTCTCTCTTTCTCTCTTTCTCGGCTTTTCTTTTTCCTTCGAGCATAGACGCGTTTTTGTGCGCGACTCTTCTCGTCGTCGTTGTCGGCGACGTTTCCCGTGGTTTTCGCCCTACATCGCTCGGCTTCGTTCACAGAGTTCGTTAAGCACTATGAAAGGCATAGCGCGCACGTTTCCGTTTTGACTTGGAAATTTTGTGAAACTACCGACCGACGAGAAACAGTCCCGTCATCTTTCATTCATCGTGCGCATGTAATCCATACATTTTCATAGATCTGTTTTGTATATATCTTCATCTTTGCATATGTTTATATTTTGCAAATTTACATTTAAATTGCAAATTTGTGATTTACAAATAAAAGTAATCAAAAATATCGAATATCAGGTTTTGATGTCAGACTCCATTAAATTTCATGAACTCTTCTAGAGAAGGAAAAAGATATAAATTTTACATATTTTATATGAATAATAATAATAATACGCAGAATTTGTGTGTCACACACACACAGAGAGAGAGAAAGAAACGCGGTAAAAAATTTTGCGCCAAGAATGTGCGCCCGTCATTTTACACGCCTGAAAACCGGGGAAGGGTTTCCGTTAAAAATTAAGGCGATACGTATTTTCGCGCACACTAATCGCGACTATATAATAATGCGGCCGTAATCGATCAATCGAAGGGATCGAGATTGAAAGAGAACCGAACAGCTTGCTGCATCGTACAGCCTATTTCGCTAATAGCGCCTATCGCGGTCTAGTTAATCGTAGGCAGGCTGCAATTCTCCGTCTTCAAAGTGCTCGACTGAGTGAATGTTGCGGCGTCTCTTCCTCCTTTTCTCTCGTATTCGACAACATCGTTCGCTCTCGAACCGTTGTTTTCTCTCCCTTCTCGGTCGGCGACTCGTCAGTTGGTGCATTCGACCACGATGATGCGCGCCACACATCGACCTCTTGCTTGTCAGATGACTAACTCGGCGGGGGTGCTTTCATACGGGGTGTCCCGAAATTATCCTTTCTCTCGCCGTGTATCCGTGCCTTTGAACAACTCGTGTGTGAACAGTTATTTTACATCTGTATGATTTTTTGTATGATTTTTATATCATTTGTAGTTTCATAAACAATGAAATAAAAGTCTTCTTCAAGTTTATTGCGAGATATAATTTTTGTTTTTTTTATTATCATCTTCGGTAAACTTGTCCGATATTTTTAATGAAGAAGAATCTGCACACAGTTGCTCGCATTTTGATAGACCTTCTGTGATTTCAAGACACCACACTCCGTATATGCCAGACTCGCGGCCGTATGCATTAGAGATTGCGTTTATTTACCTTTGCGTGTCGGCGTCTCGTCGGCGTTTCGGGGTCAAAGATCGCTTCGCGTCCTTTCCGAGGGATGAATCACACGCGCGCGCGGAAGTAAAGAGAAATCGATAAAACCTACGTTCGGTAGGTAGTCGGACGAAGTGCATAGAGTTTTGCCCTTGGACGGAAAATCCTCGGCGATTTTTTCGAGAATGTTAGGGCGCAAATCCTCGGTTACAAACGATAATTCGTGGAGAAATAATGTAACATCGGAAGAGAATACGATTAATTAATTTTTAAATAAACGATTAATTGATTTGTAAATTAGTGCGTGCAAATAAAACAATACTGTATTTCTGTGTACGTTATTTTGCGCAGCAGAAGTACATAATTTATCATATTTATGTGTAGTTGTTAACAGCGACGGTGCGCAAACTGATGATAACAAGCCGAGATAACGTCTTTTCTGAAGTAACAATGAACGGATGTCTAGTCGGAATGGTCTCCTTGAGTATCCGACTTTTTCGTTTCGGAATTATTCAAGCGAGACAGCGTCAAAATTGAAGCAGAGTCTTGACAATTCGTTCTTATCGTTTTTCTCGAGATCTTCAACTCGCAGCGTTCCGTCAAAATTAGAAAGACCTCGTTAAATAAGTCGGTAGAATTTTACAAGTCAAATGCGCGCGCATACGTGATGAAACTCAACTTGTTTTAAACGAAGCGATTGTTGTTGCAGTTTTTTATTATTGTTATTCTTTAAGCGACTTCAACAAGAAAACTTTAATTAAAATCAATGTGTTTTGTGCTATATTTTCTGTCTCCGTTTACAGACACACACACACACACGATGTGATTAAGACGCGGCCGCGCCTTGTCGACCGTGACGAGCAAAAACTCGCGGACTCTTTTCATCTTCGCGGTGTTTCCTAGAATTAAACATCATCGCGGGTTCACCCAGCCGCCCATAAAAGATCTATTCGTAAAGTTTCCGAGACGCAAGGCCGTCGACGAACTGATCCGTTTAGAGCTCTCGATAATTGGTAACACGTGAGCAAACATGTGGCCGAAAGCGGCGTTTTTCTCAGACGTCTCTGTATTTTTTTTCTCTCTCTCTTTTTTTATCGAGCCAACGCTATTCCCGAAAAACGTGAAACGTGTCGGAATCATTACACGTCCCTGATCTGTCACGAACAGAACGTCCATTTAGATGCAAAGCTCGTCGCCGGCATCTTTTTTTCTCTCTACTTTGAAATTCTCTCGTTGAAATCGTCGTTTGGTAGAAGAAAGCGAGCACAGCCTTCAGAAGAGAAGATCGTTCCTTCTCAACGCTTCTCTTCCGACTCTTACTCTCGACGATCGTTCAATTACGCCAATTGATCGATTCGAAGGGCGGATATGCGGCGAGACACGACGTTTCCGTTTTCGGAAACGCTGCTCGTCAAAAGTAAAATAGTGTAAAATTGATCAAACATCGTTGATCTGATCTCCCTTCGCGCAGAAATTCTCTCGAAATCGATCTATTCCGAAATTCATTAATTTCTTAATTAAAATCTCGCGTCTCGAATACGTTCTCTTGGAAGAACCGAAAATGTCTGCTGGGTAGGACCGGAAATTTCTCTCGGATTATGGAAGTCGTGTGTGGCTTCTGCGTCGTTTATTATCAAAGTTGAAGGAAGTTTTGGAACGGAAATGAGATACGGCCGCGACAATAAATCATGCGGTACAGCGAGCACGCGTACGATTATCTCTTTCTCTCTCTCTCTCTTTCTCTTCCTCTCTATCCTAAGCAAAGTCTGCACGAAACGATGGATTGTTTCGCGTCGCATAAGCCGTTTATTTTTAGTAGCTCGATCGTCTCGCGGAGCCGAGACGTCGTCCGTCCTCCTCGTCATTGTCTCGCGGATAACATTAATGGAATACGGATTATTACGGGGAAGAGAAAGAAAGAGATATGTACGCGCAGATAGTCTCTCGGAAGTTCGACACGATCGTGTCGGAGTCCTTCCTCACGACCGCCCGTCATTATTTCCCGCGACATTATTATTCCGCGCAGCATCCGCCTCTCTGCCATTGTCATCGTCGTCGATGCGAGAATAAAATGAGGAGATTATCGTGACGCGCGCAAAGCGACGAGTAACGAGAGGAAATCTAACCTCGAGACGGATCCGCACATCTCGAGACGATTCAATAAGCTCGCTTGGCGTTTGCTTGTCGTATTAGAAATCCTTGGAGTACATCGCTTAGAGAAGACGGACGAAGGATTCATTTCCGTGGCTTTTAAAACTCACACTCGAAGACCTTGAAAAGACCCCACCTTTCGGTCGGATTCGTTGCCCGGTCGGAAATTTGCTGTTTTTGAGGTGTTTCCAACACCGGGATCGGTTTCGCGAGGATGAAGATTTTTGTGCGAGAACTAAAAGAGGGATCAAAACTCTCCCGTAGACGGTCCAATTTCCAGGGATTACTTTTCAAGGAAGTCTTCTCGTGCGGATTTTGAAACCGAACTCAAAGCGCGCGCGCGCGCGCGCTCGCACACCGTCAGATCCGTAGAGACCGTAACGAGGGATCGTTTTTTTCTTATTTGCAGACATAAGGCTACAGCTGAACGAGCAGCTGAGATGCCTCGACGTGAGGATGGAGGCGCAAGTCGCCCTCGTGGCCGAGCTCCAAGACTTCTTCCGCAAAAGGGCGGAACTGGAGCTCGATTACAGCAAGTCACTCGACAAAATGGCCAGGAGCATACAGATGAGGCACAAGGAGCAGAAACAGAAGTGAGTTACCACGTTATATATGTATATATTGTTATGCTTGTTTTGTTTCTTTTTCAAGCGGCGCTTGTCTCTGTACGTACACTTTGAAATTGTGTAAAAACGTATTCACAAAATGTGACTATGAATTTTTATTAGATATCATCGCGCGAGAACGGTTTAATTATGTTACAAACTAATTTTACGATATACGCGGATTTATCTGCAAACCATCGCGAAAATTTAATGGCGATTTGATTAAATGACTCTCTCTATTTAAATTTAATTGCTCGGAAAAAATGGTATTCTAGAGAAGAAATTTAAATAAAAGCAAAATAAAAAAAATAGCACGGTGTTTGTGTGCGCTGTCATATGATAAAAATTGAATTAGTAACGCGGAAATGTTTATAAACACAGTAAAAATAAAAACAAACTCTCTATTAATCGCTGCACGACTACACATCTCACAAAGGTGTATTAATTGATTAATTAATTTGCTTTAATTTATGTGCATGATGTAATTCGCCACGTGTTTGCCTCGTGTAATCGAAACGACCGGTGTATCTGTGTGTGCGCGTCTGGTAACGTTACATTAACGCTATTACGTTACATTTCTGTGCAACGCAAATTGTTTCCGATTATATATGTGACGTAAATGTTCGATCGAACGTGCAATTATATTTGGAATACGAACGTTAATTACACGTGATTGTTTCCGATTGTAAGTCGCATAGTATTTGGCGCAAATATCTCGATTCGGTAGCTTTAAATATATTGATATATCGCGATCGTATATCTGCCCTCTATTGGAAATTAAATTAGTAACTCGCTAATTACTAACTAAAACTTTGTTGTTATTTTTTTATTTATTTATTGTAGCTAATTTCTAATTTTTTTAATCAACTTCAATCGAGTTTCTGATCAGGAAGTAATGACCGGAATGTATCAAGTTTCTTATTAACCAGCCAGTTTTTACTATTTTAATTAATGGTTAGGTTTTAATTAATTTTTAACTGAAAAATATTGAGAATTTGTCGAGTTTTCCTGGACAAAACAAAAACTAGCCAGCGTTTATTCTACTGTTTGATTTATTATGCTTTCTAGAATTTGACCAGGAAATCCTGTTTTGACAACGTGCATTTATTAAAACACAAAAAACTGGCCGGGAACTATTTATCTCAACGGAAGTTTTTTTATCCAATTATTGGACAGTTGTTGTCAAATAAAACTAGAATAGGAAAACTGACCGGTTTTTTGCCAGTAACCAGTTTTTCATAAATACATTTTTACTAAAATATTACAAACTCACTACATTTCGTTTTTTAGTTTTTTCTTGTATGTTTGTAAATAATTTAAAATGTTTTCAAGAAACACATGTGTGTGTCTATTATATTTTTACATTTAAACGCGTCAATCCGTACTCACGTCTCGTTATGTCAAACTGTTTTTTTTTTTTTTTTCATCGTAACATCAATTTTTTAACAAATCCGCGCGAAAATGTCATAAATTTTTATATTACAATTACGTCTGTTGTGACGATCTCTTCTCCTGTACATTTGCGCGTACACCGCAGATTGCGATTGACATTTTCCGCGCTCTACTTTAGCGAACGACGGGAAAAAAAGTGTGTGCACTTCGTATTTTTCCCGCGTCCCACACACGCGTGCATTTGTTCGGTTGCTTTCGCGACATGCCCCAGTTCCTTTCTCGTCATTCAACCCTGAACGTGCCCTGCGCTGTCCCTTTTGCGCGCTGTGTTTTCAGCGTCCACAAAAGGGATGACTCCTGCGCGGCGCACGCGTTATACTCACGCCGAGTAAACATAATCTCTACACATCGCGATACGACCACCGGCACTCTCTTTCTTACCTGACTGGTTTCCCTCATTTCGCTTATCCGAGGAAGATATCGCGGATCGATATGCTTCTTTCCTTTTTTAATCCGCGTATCCGGAGGATCGCGCATCGTTGAGGCAACATGTTTCGGTCATTTCGTTTAATTCGCTCCTTTGTAGCCGCGCTCGAAAAATCCATTAGCGTAAACTGGGACTTTTTTTATTTTTTTTTTCTCCCCCGGCTATAATATCGGAACGAATTTAGATGGCCCACTTGCGAAGTTGTAGTTGCAGACGTTTTTGTAAAAGTGAGTTTAATTTTAGACACACACTCCGCTTGCGTTATCGGAAGACCGGTGGACGCGGCGCTATTTGCGGCGTTAGAACAAGCACAAAATACACACACGATCTATTTATAACGTTAAGATAATTTATAAAAAGATGTTAAAACGCATAATATTGCATGTGTTTTATTTATAACGCATCGAACTCGAACGTGCGTCAGTTTAAAGCAGTTTTTTTTTTTTTTGTGTTTTATTACGTTTGCGAAGCTTCAATTATCAAATGAGCTTTTCCATTTTCTTTATCGCAGCGCATCGCGCGCGATATATAAAGGATTCAAAACAAAAAAGAAAAAATTCTCCACCGTTAGAGCACGCCCGCGTAATATATTACGTTATACCGATAACACGTCGCGCGTATCTGCGCGCGGCGCATTTAGTATGCATGAACGTGCAAGTGGAACGATCGCTGTTATGTGTTGTAATATATAAACCGTAACGGCGGCGACGACGGCGGCGGAGGCGGTGGCGGTGGCGGCGGTTTGCGTTCGACGCCGCAAGATGAGTGCAGCATGCAGCTCGGCGACGCTTTATCGGCTCGTTAGCGACGATTTAATTGCCGTGTAATTGCGTCCGATATTATACGCGCGGAGCACATCCGCAGCGTCGCTTTCGTTGTTTCGATATCGTCTTTATCGATCGTTTTCCACAGGCGGGAACAATGGCCCTTGTTCTCCAGCTACGCTTGCTGGCAGCAACTCGTCAACGAGACCAAGTCCCTGAGCAGAGACCACGCCGCTCTGTCCGAGGTCTACAGCACCCATCTCGTGGGTCGTCTCAATCAGGTGATGGAGGACGTGCAGCGAATTTACAAGCGTGTGAGTGTCATGAGTGTCATACGTTTCGATTTGTGTTATACTGTTGGAAGAACAAACACAGTTTTCGCGAAGAAAAACATATCTCGATTAGATAATGAAAGAGTCAATGACAAAATAATTTTTATTATCTAACACGGAGATTGATTTTATTTTATATATTGATATAAAAAAAAAAACATATATCTCTACGCGTGAAAACATTACATTATATTTATTATTCTTTATACTTGCTAACGTACTCGCTAATATTTCTCTCCAGATTGATTATTCACCGCGCATTGCACTCTGAAAGCAGTTGCATGATCGTATCTCCGTGTCGTGAGAAGTTCGACTGTTCCATTGTCTCGTTGAATTAATTACTCCGAACGTCTCCATTGCGCTCTCTCTCGCCACAATGTTTCGCCACGACGGCATTATCGACATGTACCGGGTGGTATGAAAACAAAGCGGTTTTCTTTGATATACAGTCGATTTTGTCGCAAAATTGCAATTTATTTTTATTTGGAGTTTTTTTTATCAGATGAATTTGAAGATAGTCCACTTGCAAAGTTAGACGTTTTGCAACTTATGTGTAATAAGTGATTATTTTTCATTACTTCAGTAAATTTATTATTTTTGCTATTTTGTTTAACATTAGGAGACGAGGCACAAAAGACGTTAATAATTTTGTAAGTCCATTTATCTTCATGTGCTTTCACACCTAACTCGAATTTCTTTCGAGAACCAATAACATTGTCTTTCTGTGCGCGTAAGCAAAGATGACGAACGATATGTTTCAAGCGCAATGTCAATCGTCTTGTCAACGTTTGTTTTTCTCATTTGTCACAGTGTCGCGAAATCGGATACGAGACGCATGAGGAGATACTTCGGGTGTTGCACGAGCTTCACACAACGATGAAGACTTATCAGGCTTATCAGGCCGAGTCCAGACAGGCAGAGACGAAGCTCCGCGTGGCCGAGCAGCAACGCAACAAACTCGAGGTGGCGAACGCGGAGAGCCGCGAGAAACTCACGCGCAGCAAGAAATACAAGCTCATCGAAAAGGAAGTCAACAAGGTAGACTGTAGCATTCAGATCCCACCATCGTGAAGGTCAATGTCAGACGCTTCCGCATTCAGAAAAGTTCTCTCCGTTTCAATTCTGACAATGCTCGAGGCAGCTTCTGCAGTAGCTCGATGACGCTTGACCTTCGCGAGAGCTTACGCGGTTTAAGCTCTTCTCCCCGTGGGGGTTACTTCAAACTAGTTACCTTCGTAGAATCGCGTTGACAGAGTTCGCGTAGGATGAAGAGAAACGTCAAAACTTTTATATGTGCACCTATCGCGTATATAGAACGTTCTATACTCGCTTCAGTTTCCCGTCATTTAATGCGCGAAGATTCAAAGAAATATTTTGTTTTTGTACGTGATAAACCGATTTACGCGAAAATGTTTCAAAATATTTTTATACTTTATTTAACGCGATGAGGATTACAGACTTCGCTTCGTTTACACCTTGTCTGACCTCTTTCTCTCTCTCTCTTCCTCTCTTGGAGGCGACCCTGGCCGTGGATAAATCTGGCATATCCCGAGCGCGTCCTTCGATTTTTGGCATCAACGGTATGACGACGACGACGACGACGACGTTACGAGACGCGAGAAATTTATTCATCGTTGCACAGCCGCCTGACTTTCTTCCCCTCTCTCTTCCTGCGTCGTTCTTGACGCAGATGTTTGTACCTGACGCGATTGAACCGCGCTCGATCTCTTTCTGGCAAAAGACGATCTCTCACAATCCACTGGCGATTTTACGCCAAAGGCGTGCGATTTATCGCGCGCGATTCTCCCGCGTTCGAACACATTCACGCGATTCTCCCGTGATTCGACGTGCTATCTTTTTTTTTTTTTTCTCGTCGTTTCTCGTTCGCCAGCTGTTCTCGTTCGCGAAGTTGAAAAGCTTCCCGACTAGGAAGCGCTTTGCGATGACTGGTAAAAATACTCTTCCTCTCTCTCTCGTCGAGAGAAGTTACTTCGATACAATCTTTTCGTTCAAACTCGAAAATACAAGTTCAACCGGAGATAAATTGAAGCGACTCTGTGCGCAAAATGTGTAGTAACGTTGCGAGAGAAAAAATAAAAGATTCGTTAATTCACGATAAATTAAAAGTTACCGGTTTTACCATTCGATACGAGAGAGAAGGAACGCTCCTTTGTTCGTCGCGTCCCTTTGAGGCGAGCGAGGTATATTTCGCGTTGGGAAGCGTGTGGTTGGAAATTCGCGTGTCTGGCCTTCGTCGATGCAATTGAAAGGAAATTGAAAGTACAGTTGCAACGAATAGAACGACCGCGTTGTCTGCTGCGTCTTAACAATTTCGTGTCGCGACGGAAACGCGCTCATTACGACGACTCGCGACGGAAGCGCCTCTCTAATTTTCTCTCTCGCAACTTGCAACAATGAAGGATCACATATCGTTAAAATCAACCGTTAGACTCGTCTTCGCGCAATTCACTCGGGACGACGAAATTTTTTTTAATACAAACTATTGGATTTGATTGAAGCTACGTTGCAAAATAAATTTTAATACGTGTTTGCTGCGATCGTGTAAAAAAGAGAACATAAATTCCATGGCATTAATATCCGACGTATAAAATAGTTGAGATTTTTGTCCGATCGAACAGCGCGCGAACTTTTTGTACACACTCTGTATTTGTGTATGTTAAAACAACTACACAATATATTGCGAAAGCGCGCGCATGATTTACGGTCGCTGTTTGCACCAGGGTCGTTATTGCGTTATATTGCGTTATTGCGTTTTGCACGCCAATAAAGATTAGAACGGAGACGCACAGTCGACGGATATTTTATATAATATATTCGCACACGCCGCACATTATCGAACGGCTGCACAAAATACGAAGCGACGAAATATGTCTGGCGACAGGTGAAGAGACGCGCGGAACGAGAATCGTCGGTATCAAACGATATATCGAGGCCAGGATGTCCGAATTAGGTATCTGCGTCATCAGACCGGCAATTGTTCCGCTTTTTGTTAATCGTCGTCTATCAACGAGACTCTCTCATCGGTCGCCGGGACCGATTCACGGAATCGACCGCACATTCAAGAGAGATCTGCACCGTATAGAACGAATCTGGTCTCTCCGGTTCTTTCGAAAACTCGTCCGTGCGTTCTGTAGTGCGATTTGTGCAACAAGAAGAACGGCACGGTCTGAATAACGATTGTGGAATAAAAGAAACAAAGGAGAAATCCTAGTACAAAGTAAATATTTCGCGAAATTATTCTTGAGAATTATTTTTATAAAATTGTTGCAATAGTGAATTTTCAATAAATTTTCCGAAAGAAATTAATTTGAAAAAAATGTGATTTAAGCGAAATATTTTTATTTTGATTACTAGAGGTTTTTTTTAATCATCACTAAGATTCGAAAGAAAAGAGTTTTGCTGTTTTTTTTTTTTTTTTTTTTTTTTTTTTTTTTTTTTTTTTTTTTTTTTTTTTATCAAAAAACGAGAACACATTCTGACACACAAATAGAAAAGAAAATATTCCGTTGTTACCTCATACTTTCTCTTAACAATAAACGCGGTCCGCGGTCTTCTGCCGTCTGTTCGGGGAATACATATGCTTCGCTCTTTTGTTCGCATGACTCAAGGGTCCCCGGTGACCCAAAAGCATTTTCTCCAGCTTACACCGAGATATCATCCACTCCGCGGAGCGAATCGGCGGAGAGAGAGAGAGAGAGAGACAACTGGGAAATCCGTATCTCTCTCTCTTTGCATTCTCTTTTTTTTCTGTCATCTCGTTTCAATCCGAACGGACGAGAGAGTTTAGGGTCGAACTCGCTGAGTTTTTTGCCAAGCAACAACTCGATGGAAAAATAAAGGGCGTTTCCCCCCTGAGCAGTGTGGGACTCGTAAAGAGCGATAAGATGTACGGTTTAAAAACGGTCTAAAAGCAAAAGAGAGACATCGAGACGCGCAAAAGAGGAATGTAGGCGCCAAACGGTTCGGAGGAAGAAAGAAAGAAAGAAAGAAAGGGAGACCGGCAACACGTGCAACCGACGACTCATCGTCGTCATCGTTATATGCTTGATGTCATTGCTCGCATTAGCGGTGAGAGGAGACGCAGATTCCGTTGCGTTACGAAATCCGAAAGGGTCGGAAAGTTGTTTAAAAAGTGTTTTAAAAGGAGTTTTTACTAGGTAATATCTGCGCTCTCGCAAAAGGGAAAATGTTTACATTTTCGTACGCGCGTATAAATATTGAAAGTTAGTTACACAGTATACAAACAGAAACAAAAGACAAGAAACAAAAAGTTTTTATAAAGTAATATTTTGCTCTCGTTGAAAAAAAAATATATAACATATATATGTTCGGTATGTATATAAATGTTGAAAGTTACTGTCAGACAGACGCAAATAAACACAAGTAAATAAACGAGTTTTTATTTAAAAAAAAAGAGATTGAAAGAGAGGAACTGTACGGGACACGTGATAGTCACGAAGTTTATTCCGTGAAACGTGTGGAAAAATTGTTTGAATGAAAGATCATTTCGATATAAAAACAACGCGGGCGTGCGGACAATTTTCGGGGAGAGAAAATGCGAAACGCGAGATCTTCCGATGACGTCGAACCGAGACTGGAAACTCGTTCTGGAAAATTGACGACATTAATTAATGAGCCACCGTGCGGGTTTTCGCGATCGATTAATGGGATTAATTAGATTAAGCGGTCTCTCTTTCGCCGATTACTAGGTAAAATATCACTGATCCGGTATTCTCTTTTTTTTTTCAGAGGAAGAGCAAGTATCAGGAGGCGAAGTTAAAGGCACTCAAAGCGAGAAATGAGTACATCTTGTGCCTGGAGGCGTCCAACACGACGATACACAAGTACTTCGTCGACGACCTGTCCGATCTCATCGACGTAAGTTGCTTTGGTGGTTCATACGTGGTCTCGCACGTGCACCCCATTGACCCCAAGTCGACCACGACTGCGCTTTCTCCGGCCCTCGTAATTGTTGCACTTGTCCGTTGCGCTTGCAACGTTGTAATGTAAAATCGCTCCTCCCGTATCGAATTTAACATAAACATTTAATTATAACGCAGACAAATTCACGTGAAAGGTGAAAATAATATTAAATAAAATAAACTTGAAATTGTCAATGTAGAGATAAAACTGAATACAAGTTGGAATGTTTGCTAACTTACAAAACAATAATATAATATATTTTAGTTTTATTTGTTTATTACACAAGTGAGGTTGTGATGTCTGTTCTTGCAGTGCATGGACTTTGGATTTCACAATTGTATAGCAAGGGCATTGCTGATGCACTGCAGCGCAGAGGAGGGCAGACAGCGTTCTCTGCAATCTGGCGCCGAACAATTAGCCGCGTGTGTCGGTTCTCTCGACTCTCGTGCGGATAAGCAGAGATTCTTGGAGTCTCATCACGCGGCCTTTATGATTCCCAAGAAGTTCGAGTTCCAAGGACAGCGTGGAGACGAAGTACGGAATAAATTCGAATCACTTATTAAAGATGACAATTTTTTTTCCTAAAATAGAAAAAACCTTGGAACCTTTTTCTCTAAAAAAAAAATTACATGATTTGAACACTTAATTTAAGTGTAAAAATAAAAGAAATCTCTTAAATAATTTTATTCAATTTTTATAGACTCCCGAGCCGGAGCTGCAAAAGATGTTGCATTCAGAGATGGAGCAACGTTTGCAACAGTTGCAGCAACGAGTGACATCGCTGCGAACCGAGTCGGAGGAGGTGTGGAAGACCCTGGAGACCGCTGAGGCGAGTTTGCTGGAGATGTTGACCGCCAAAGATTACGATTGCTCGCGATACTTCGGCGAGAACGCCGTGCCTACGTCCAGGCCGCCGGAGACCGTGCAGATCAAGCTGCGGGCCGACAGACAGGAGACTGAAGAATTCTACCTCACAGTGAGTAATATGAGAATGGTGTTCTACGTTTTCCTCCCCCCTCTCTCTTCTTTCTTCCCCCGTCATGGTAAGCAAAAGACACGCAGCCGTGCAGTAGAATATTGATCGTCGTATTAACACTCGGAGGACAGAGGAAGTGTGCGAATGAGAGACAAATAGAAAATGCTTGAGGAAGACATACTGTCAAGCCGTACATCTCAAACTATCATTTTACATAATAAAATAGTTCAATTTAACTTCTGTTTAAATAAACTCACAAAGGGACTAAAGAATAAAACAATTATACAAGAACAATTATACAAGAAGTAATAAATTATATCTATTGACTATGCAAAAGTTCTTATAAGACTTCTTAGTTTGAAAAACATTTAAAGCCGCGTGTCGATCTTTCTAGATCTTCTTTATGATATTTGCAGAAATTCAGGGAATATCTTCTTGGCACGTCGAGAATAGCCAGGTTAGATGCGAAGCAGGAATATATCCGCCAGAGTCTGCTCGACGGTTCGAACGCCAGTCCGAATCCGTCGATCTCCGCGACAAAGCAGAAGCAGGCGCGTCGCAAGCGGATCGGCCGTCTGCAAATGAACGGTCAGCCGAAGTTGTTCGGCGGCTCGCTCGAGGAGTACCTGGAGAGCACAAATCAGGAGATACCGCTGATTATGAAGAGCTGTATTCGCGTGATCAATCTGTACGGTTTGCATCATCAGGGCATCTTTCGTGTGTCAGGCTCGCAGGTGGAGATTAACAACTTCCGCGAGTGGTTTGAGCGCGGCGAAGACCCGCTAGCGGACGTTACTGATGCTTCGGACATCAACAGCGTTGCCGGAGTGCTGAAACTTTATCTGAGAGAGCTACGCGAACCGCTCTTTCCCATTATCTACTTCGAGCAACTCATGGAACTGGCGCAACTCGAGTCGAGGCAGGAATTCGTAAACAAAATGAAGGAGATGATATCGAGTCTGTCAAGGCCGGTTGTGATAGTCATGCGTTATCTCTTCGCTTTTCTCAATCAGTACGTATTATCTACAAAAAGTGCGTTTATGTAAATTTACATCTGTAATTAAATTCTGATTTACGTTTGGATAGTCTCTCGGAATTTTCGGACGAGAACATGATGGATCCGTACAACTTGGCCATTTGCTTCGGTCCGACTCTAGTGCCCGTTCCTGAGGAAAAAGATCAAGTTCAATATCAGAATCAGGTTAACGAACTGATCAAGAATATTATTACGTTCTACGAGGATATCTTTCCGGATGACATCGGAGGCACTCAGTATGAGAAGTATATCAGCAGGGAACCTGATGACGGGTACGTAGAATCGTTTTATGTATCGCAGAATGTCATTATTTTGAGACAACACGATGTATTAAGGTGTTAAGAGCTGAAAACATTGTGTTAGTCTTCAAATATCTTTTATAAGTAATTTTTGGATCTCTATATTGTATGGATATTTGACACTTTAGGGATGTAGGGGATTCACCGACGGATCAAGTTCAGGAGGATATGGATTCGGAAGTTTATCCGTCCGAAGACGGTAATGTGTTTCCTGACTATATTTGACAATATATTGAATGTTGTTAAACGTTCGAAGAATATTTCCATGTATTTTGTTTGTTTTTATCCATTTAGAATCGGAGAATCTTGAAGCTACGGCGCAGTTCGACTTTAACGCGAGATCCGAGAGAGAGCTGACCTTCAAAAAAGGCGATACTCTGACACTTTACACGCAGGTCAGCAACGACTGGTGGCGAGGCGCTCTAGCAGGCAGAGAGGGACTGATTCCTGACAAATATATTATGCTCAAGATAAAGTTAGTATCATTGTATCAAAACCGTGACGTAAATTTCTCTTATATAATTTTAATAGTTGATTCAAGTTTGTTACACTTCAATTAAAATTTTTCTAATTATTTCTCAGTAATAGATTCTCATGATTCTCTGCGTTTTTGTCTGCGGTTTTTTTTAGGGATGAGGAGCGTGAGAAGGATCTTTTGAAATCGTCCAGTGAGGAATCCATGCGTAGAAGAGCGTCCAGTTCGGCGGATAGCGTACTGTCAAGCAACAACTCGCCGTTGATGGGTCCGTCGGCGAATCCGAGCACCTGGTCGTCCGGCGCGGCGTCGTCCGACATGTCGTCGTCCGCCACGACGAACATAATTACGGATAATAGTAACGCCAGCGGTATTATCGCGTCCGTGGTGTCGAATGTGCCCTGCATCTCGTCGTCGGCGCAGCCGATCATCAGTCGAGAGGTATTGGAAACTACCGTTTAAGTAGTTGATTTGTAATCTGTTCCCGATCTGTTCTCCTCTTCGTGTTCGTCTACGCTTTTTTTTTTCAGTTGTATACACTGTTTGTTACACTTGTGCATACCGACGCACCGCGCGTGCAGGTTTTTATTATCGTTCTCTGTATCCTTAAAGCGTATACACAGGTGCATGGCTGTAATGTTTTTTTTGTTTCATCTCTTTCGTAAAAATCTCCTCTCAAAGTGAAAACCGCACAACATATAGATTGGCAACACGAATAAAAATCCTTCTTGCCTGTGCACCGCACCTGCATATCAAGTCACGCATATCGCTTCGTTCTGTAATCCGCGCAGTTCTTTCGCAATCGACTGCGAGCAAATATACTTGCCGTTCTTCGTCTTTGAGAAACTTGGACGAAGAAATGACTGAAATGTCTTCTGGAATAAAATTCATGTTTATTATCCATCGTGAGATGTTCGCGATATGTTATTATTCGATCTCGTGATTCTGAGAGTAATATAAAAAGTGCTTTAAAATTACGCGAACAAATCGACAAACGCAGTGATTGTATGTGTCACAGAAAATACAGTGTCGAGACGTGAAACAAGCACGCAACGTGGAAAAGTCGCTATCTTTAAGTTAACTTAAATCCAGAACGCAAGTAATTTTTAGAGTACGTTTAAAAACATTTAAAAAAAAAAACATTTTGTACGATACATCTGTAAATAAACCAGAAATATACATGTTATATTGTGCTGCATGTCTCGCCTTGTGGTTGTTCTTGTCTTGCGTCGCCTGTGTCCTCCGTTGCACCGTACTTTACTTGTGTGAGTGTGTTTTTAAATTTTCTCCTTTGTGTTGTTTTTTTTTTTTTGTTTTATTTTTTTCCGTCAACTACTGTTTTAATGGTTGGGATGGTTGCTGTTTTTCCAGATATACGTTTAGTCTGTTCGGCCCTTTAGTTGGCGAGAAAAGCGCCACGTCGTTTCGCGCACGTATCCTACGCAGAGCGAAACGCGGACTAAAAACTGTTCGAATAAAAACTTAGTCGCCAGTGTGTTTATGGTTGCTGTGTGTTTATTACTTTATCGTTGTTGTGCTGCTGATCGCGACATGTCAAATTTGAGATTTTCGACAGGAGAATGTGTGTTCGCAGTTCGTTTTCTTTTTTCTCTTTTTTGTTTTTTTTTTGTTTTTTTTCTTTTTTTGTTTTTGTTTTTGTTTTTTTTCTTGTCGATTCTGTGAGTCTTCTGAGTTTCTCCGTAGAGCGAATCTTCTCTTCGGTCTGTAGATGAGACCAAAAGGAATGCCGCTCGCGCGGGGCGCCTGCTTATCTTCAACGGATATCCTTTCGGCTTTCGAGGTGAGTAAAAAGAGTCTATCTCACCCATTGAAATAACTTTTATAGCCACTATATTAACCCCCTCTCTCTCTCTCTCTCGGATAGTAAAACAAAAAATAGGTATGAACTAATTCATCGTTATTACGGTACGTTCACTCGCTTCTGTCCGTTTCGCAGTTTTTTACGAGCAGTTTTTAATCCCGTTTCTCTTAAAAGTGATGTTGCCTTTATATGTGTGTGTATCTCATCTCTCTTTATGTACTTTTGTGCGTCAATTGCATGCGAGCGACTGTAAGTGTGTCCCGAAATTTTTTACTTTGAGATTTCCACCCTCCCCCCCCCCCTTGTCTCTTTAGATCACAACCGTGTTGACATGAGAATTACGAATTATTTTGTGGTACAACAACAACTTGCAATGAAATCGTAGAACAACAGACCAATCGTTGAATGCAGACCTTTAAAATCAAGTTTCATTAGTACAAACCTCGTCGAATTGATCTCGGCACATTTTCCCCTTATAGAGTATTTTATATAACCATAATCGTTGTAAACCGAACCGAAGTTGTAAATCTCGTACGAATCACCTCACTGTCCTAATTGTTTTATATTCACGTTGTTTATATGGAAAGTTTGTATACAGGATGTCCCACTACTGTCGGGTGGCCTTTCAGACATTTCTTTAGAAACGTTACTACTAAGTTTTTTTTTTGTTGTAGAAATTTATTAATAAATTTGTTATATCTTTATGTTACATCTTTATGTTCTATATTTTTAATCTTGACGTTAAATTAGAAACGTTAAATTAATTATTACAAACTAGTTTTTATAATAGTTTTTATAATTTGAAGTAAAAAAAATCGATTTTAAATTTAAACGAGAAATGTGAAAAACATTGTCGCCTATTTTTTGAGGAATCTTTTTCAATCAACTTATACAGTTGCACAATTTTTGTCGATATTTTCAAAGACGATCATAAATGATCAAAATACGAATTTTTCCATTTGCAAACAAAGTACATCCATCGGTGGCGAGACTCCCTGTAAAGATGAAAAAAATAAAAAAAAAAACGTGATTCAACGGAAATAACAATACAATAATTCGTATCTCATTGCAGCGCGCACGATCGCTGATAGATCAAGACGACTCCGTAATATCTGCGTATTCCCCGCAAAAATAATCGACCCGCTGACTTCACTCTCAGGCAACACACACCCATTTAGCTCTTCCCCGTACGCGCGCCACAAGCCTCGCTACGAATGTTCCCGTGACTGTTCGCAGGCTGACACTGCAACTCCGTCAAGGCTGGCCAGGGTGTCCACACCAGAGAACGAGAAGCACTCGGAGCATCATCGGAACAATGTTGACGGCGTTCTCCAAGTCGCGTTGGAGAACAACGTCGAGTGCGTCGACGGTTTAGGTAATGCGAGCTCGAATCAGTATCAGCAACGAGGAAGCGGTAACGAAGAAGCGGCCACGAACGAGGAACAGATGCTCAACAACATGTCAGCGACGATATCGTCAGTGGACGGTGTTGCGACAAAACGTGCCGCCGGTCGAAAGCAACAACACTGGAAGTCGCAGAGCGTCGGCGAGGGCGTAGTTGCGCAACAACATCATCACCAATTGCAGTTGTCGCACGCGAATTCTCTGCCCACCGCGACGACGACGACGACGATAACCACGACAACTGCGACAACCACGTCGATGATGACGATAACGACTGTGATGTCGGATGAGGAGTTGCAACAGGAGACGACCAATTTCTCGGCGAATCGCGAACTATGGCAACGCCGTGCCACTTCACAGTCGCAGCTGCTGAATCAATCGGCCGCCAAGTCGTCGTCTTACTCGCGCGCGTCCCAGGAGTTCCGCGAAATGCGGCAAAAGCACACACCCGATCTGGTGATGGATCTGCCGCTGTCGGCGCAGGATCCTGTCGGCAAAAAATCCGCGTCGTCCAGCAGTTTAAGCAGTTCGGACGATGAAGCGATGATGCCATCGTCGTTGCTTGCGCCGCCGCAGACACCGCCCTCGCGAGCGGAGGCGGCCACGTCGCCAACCGGTGGCCCAGAATCACCGGATATGAGCACTGCTGCCGAACGGTTTGCTAAACAAAATCAGTGCACTCTGAAGAAGAACACGAAAACCGCGAACTCGGAAAACGCCGCCAACAACAAACTGAAGCGAATTGATACAACGGAGCATGACGGAACGAGCGCCGTCGATGCGGAGAACGACGAGATCGTCCGGTCAGCCAGCTCGAATCAGATCGCCGTCGATGGCGGCGGAGGCGGAGGAGGAGGAGGAGGAGGCGGTGGGGTACCGCTCAGGTCACCCCTACCGCCGCGCTCCACCCCCAAGATCGTCGCCAAGTTCGCCGACATGCATCTGACCGGCGGCAGCCAGGTGGTTTCGTCGTTCAAGCCGCAGGTCAAGGTCAAGCCGACGATCCTGCGCAAACCGGTGCTGCCGTTCCCGCATCCGCACATGAGTCCCGAACTCGCGCGCAAAATCGAGAAGCAGGCGCAGAGCGCGGAGCAGGCCAACTAGATTGCCATAATCGCCGAATGAGAGCCAAGAGAAGAAAAAGGTTTTTCACGTATTACTCGCGGTCGGAACGCGCGCTTGGTGTCCCTGCAACAATTGTCGAGAAGTTGTTTTTCCGTAAGTGTTGCTTCTCGAGTCACGGACAAAAGTGATACAAGTTTCTAGTTTTGAGAAATTTCGAGTATATTATAAACACGAGTTTTGAAGATTACGCGAGAATTTTCACTTTTATCACTTTCGGAGCCAAATGCCTCGAGAAAGTCTTCCTTCGAGTTGACTCACCTGAACTTGTATTTCTTCTTAAAGAAAAAATTCTCCGCTTCGGAAAAAAAAACAAAAAAAAATATACTTGTTGACAATAATCGTTCCTTTTTTTGTCTCGCATAAGAATTTATACGTGTGTGAAACATAAACCAAAAAAAAAAAAAAAAAAAAAAAAAAAAANAAAAAAAAAAAAAAAAAAAAAGTACAATAAAAATGGAAAGTAAGCCATTGCCGTGGGACATCAAGTCGGAGTCGCCGATCGTCGCATCGAGTTCTACGACATTTCGCCATTTCGAGACGAGATTAGATTTAGAGCGATACAAAGCGCGACCACCCATCGACCAGTTACTCCGCCCAGTCGCGAGGACTTTTACTGCATTAATTACCGTGCCCGAGAAAAAAGGAAAGTCTGCCGCGGGATAGCACGCGGACGGCACAGTGCACGATATGCATAATATTATAAATTGCACGACGGTGCTAGAGATTTCAGCACACGCGCGAAATTTTGAATAATGATCACAAGTGCATGGTGCATGACCGGCGCGCTATCCCCGTGGGGGGCGAGTTTATTTTTTCTACAGATGTTTTCCATTTTCGCATAATTTTTTTACCAAATGATATCCGCGCGAAGCGATGTTTCTAGTCATCGAGCGAAGAGAAATAAGAATAAGAGAAAAACTAAAACGGAGTGAAAGGGGGAGAGAGAGAGAGAACGAGCGAGCAAGAAAACAGTGTGAGAGAGAGAGAGAGAGAAAAAAAGGGAGCGAGAAGAGTTAAAGAATAAAAGCGAGAGAGAAAGAGAGTACGTGTGTGAGAGTATGTGTGTGAGAAAGAGAGAGAAAGAGAGTGAGGAAGAGAGAAAGAAATGTAGCATCGAAGAACGTGAATTCGTAATATTGGACGATGATGTAATTTATTTTTTAGCGCGTGCCCGTATGCCAATAACGGATTTTCCTGCTACTATTACTCTTGACGAGTATCGTCGTGAGACGCGGCGGCACTTTTGATGGTTCCTTTATGCGCGAGCGAGTGTTAGTACGAAATATTTTTTTTTTTTTTTTTTTTAAAGAAAAAGAAGAAGAAAGAGAGAAAAAGATGAGAAGAGCTGTTTCCCTAGTAACCCTCCCGCCCGATCAACCAACCGAATCGCTGAACTTGAACGCGAATCCGAAGGTTTCTCGCGTTGGAGAACAGTAACGAGTGAGTGAGAAGAGAGATGATAGTCCCGCGACTTCATCGGTAGATTTATTGTAATTAGGATACATTTACTATGTATACCGCGTGCCGTCTTAATTATAGGGTACTAACTAATCCAAACAGCGATGTTCGATATATTCGAGATAAAGAGAAAAAGAGAGAGAGAGAGAGAGAGAGAGAGAGAGAGAGAGAGAGCGAGAGAGAGAGAGAGAGAGAGAGAGAGAGCGAGAGAGAGCGAGAGAGAAAAGCAACACTGAAGAGGAAGGAAGGAATATCTAGCTAAAGGTGATTGCGATGATGACGCAAGTATTTATCGATTGGCGTCGCGAGCCGTTATTTATAATGTAATTTCGATGTCAGCAAGACATAGAGAGAGAGAGAGAGAGAGAGAGAGAGAGAGAGAAAGAAAAGAAGAAAAAAAAAAAAAAAAAAAAAAAAAAAAAAAAAAAAATGACACCCTTTCTGTAACACCTCGACGTATTCACATATTGTCTCTCCTTGTAATCGTTCAATTTAAAAAAAAAAAAAAAGGAAAAAAACAGAGAACTCTACTCGTGATTTTGCGATAGCGATATATTAACACACGTACATTAACACACGAATGTATTAACCGTGTTGAGCGGAGATTTCGCGCGAGGAGAAGAAGAGGAGATGATTTCGTTCGCGCGACGAGTGTTGTTGACGAATTTTTAAAAGGAAACTCGCAACAAACTCCGCGATGTCTCCCTTCACTTTATGTGTGTATCGACTAAATGTTTTAGCACGCGTTAAAAGCGGTCCTCACGTCGTCGGTATTATTGCGATATTCATCATTGATATTGATCACTCACGGTTGATGAAACATCTTTCTTGAGCGACGGAGTGTGAAATTAACCTTTCCTTCGTTATTAATGTATTTTGCATCGATCTTTTACACTACTTAACTGTTGGAGACATTTTTTTAAATTAAAAATCCGCAAAGAAAGAGAGAGAGAGAGAGAAAGCTTACTTCGAATAACTAATAGTTAATTTCCCTCAGATGATTTGCAATGTACATTTTAATTAAGGAAATGATTAGTTCCAAGTATAAATGATGTATACCATTAAAATTAAAACCGGATATTTGTCGTGAAATATATATATATATATAGTTTAAATATTGAAGAAAGAAAGAGACAGAGAGAGAGAGAGAGAGAGAACTACTTCAGTCGGCCAAATATTATTCGACTAAAAGGTCTCAGATGTGCGATAATACTGGCTGATGTAAAGTTCGCTGAACATTGCAGGCGCTATACCCACCTCACTAAGAAATACCAAAGCCAAAACTACGCCCCCTTATATCCCTCCCCCCTCCCGCCCCGTTGACTGTAAAATAATTTTCGCAATCTTTACACTCTTGGATTTTAAGTGCCGTTCTTCTGTTTTTTTGTTTTGTTTTTTTTTTGTTTTTTTTTCGTTTTTTTTTTTTTTTTTTTTTACTATTATTATTGCCTTATCATAACTGCAGACTGCGTATTTTGTATAATAGTTATAATCTCTCGTCCTTTGATTTAATTTTACACGGCGTCGATGGTCCGCCGAATGATAACGTTTTTTTAAAAACAACTCTTTTTTTGTAATTTATAACACGCATACGTATATAATTTAGTGTAGTTGTCTTATTATATCAGTGGATGATGTTTATAATTTAAGAGGAGCGTAATAGCTTAATCGATAATCTCTCCCGTTAAGGCTAATGACATATATGGATATCGTAATAAACGAACCTACAGGCTGTATACTATTACATCACGGTTGATTCGCATTTTATTTATTGTCGCACATGTCCGTTCTCATCTCCCTGTCCACATCTCTCGATTTGATAATCCTCGACTGTTTTTTTTCTTCAGGTTGTCGTTCTTTTATCTATTTTGTTTTTTTTTTAATTGCAATTTAATATATTCAAACAATGACAATTAAACAATATCAATACTAATTATTAAGATATTAATAATTAAACAATACAATATGTATGATATTTTCAATTTTTAACTCTAATTGACGACTAATTAATCCAATCGAAACATTGGCAAGCTTGAGAAAAATGCATACGTCAAACAGTGAAATTTACGGCGTGTTTAGCCGAGCGATATCGAGTTTATTTTTTGTACCTAGCGGCGAAGGGCGCTTCTTGATATCATTCACCGGCTCTGTGTGTGCATGTGTGCGTGAGTTCACACCAAACAATATCCGACCGCATCGTGGCGCACAGCTGGTCGACTGATGATGCACCAGCTGATATTCCCTCCCTGCCCCCGTCGCTGCGACTCGACCAGGGGCGTGACGCATCACGCGCGCGCGCGTTGCTCCGATTCCCTCGTCAATAAACGAGCTGTTGTCGGCGGGAGCGCTCTTTATCGTGCGTGTGCAAGCCAGACATGGCGACTGTTCTATCGTCCGCTGTTACTGGTTGATGAAAACGAATTAGCGCGGCGGACCCGAAGGAACGCGCCCGAGTCGTTCGCTCGAGGAAATTCGCGCGACAATGTCGTCTCGCATCCCGAATTGATCACAGCCGTTGACTTGGGTTCTCGTTCAACGAAATTAAATTCTCGGTGAGACGGATCGAGAGAGAAGACATGGACGCGAACGAGATCTTGTGCAAAATCTTCGGCAAGCACGCCATTCGCGCGAAATCCAAGGAAGACACGGTTGAACAATCTAGGTAATTATCCGTTGTCTGTCTAGACGAAAATAAAGTTCGTCTCTTCTCTCAGTTTTTTTCTCTCTCAGCTTTGTCGGTCTTTTTCTGTTTTTTTTTTATTTTTTATTTTTTTTTATTTTCGCACACGCCGCTGCACGTTTTATCACACTTTCTTTTTGACAGTTGCGTTTCGGTTCGCGTAAAAAAATAAAACTGCGAGAAAGTACGCGACTGAAATGAGCTTTCTCGTTTACTCACGCGTGCACGCGTGTGTGTGTGTGTGTGTTTTTAAATACGAGCAAAAATGAGGTCAAATATTTTACTTGGCGCGAGACACGACACACATACACGCGCGCGCGCGCGCGCGCGATCTCTTGATTTATATTTCATTTGTAAACTGACTAGTCTTTTGTATTTACACACTGACTACTCGTCATTCTATTACGGTAATAATAAAACACACGTGTCCCTTGTACGAGATCCTCCTCCCGCTAAATGTCAAAGGAACTCAACGATTTGAATGTTTCGCAGATCAAACCAAAATTTGACAAAGGTGAACGAATACGTGAAAAAGTCTCTGTCGAATGCCGGTCGCACTTGGGACAATGAGGATCACAGAGAAGGTCGTATCGGGCCGGAGATCGTTAAATTTGACGTGTCCGTGCAGCAGGGCATCTGTGTTGTCTCCCCGGACAGATTGAGCGTCAATTCTCAGACCAGTTTCAGCACAATGCGAGCCAACACGGGAGTGTTTAAAGGCAAATGGATGTACGAAGTGCAATTAGGATCCAAAGGAGTGATGCAAGTGGGATGGGGTACTGATCGGTGTAAATTTAGCTCACAGTTTGGCGTAGGTACGTCGGTAGTGCTCTCGCGAAGGAATCGGAAATGTATTTTTGTTTTCGCGCTAAAAAAAATTTGCGACGAGAATAATTCTCTTTTTTGTCTGTCTTTTTATTATTTTTATAGGAGACACCCCGAACTCGTACGCGTACGACGGAAATCGCGTGAGAAAGTGGAACGTATCCACGCACAAATACGGCGAGCCCTGGTTGACCGGGGACATCATCGGCTGCACGCTTAACATGGACAAGGGAACGATATATTTTTACAGAAACGGCAGAAGTCTGGGCAGAGCGTTCGAAAATGTGCCGATGGGCGCTGGGATCGCATATTTTCCCACCGTCAGCTTGGCGCTCAATGAGAATTTAACGGCCAACTTCGGCTCCATACCGTTCAGATATCCCGTGAAGGGTTACGAGCCGTTGCAAGCACCGCCAACGAGACAGGTTCGCCAAGCCACGCTTCTCTTCCAGTGGCTCGCGAAGATCATCGAGCTGTTGGAGTATCACAAAAGTGTTGAGAAACAAACTGTTACGTTGGAGGACAAAATGATGAGCACCGAAACGTTCATCATGTGCGTGGCCAGGCCCATGTTTTGTCGAATCGGTCCGCTGCTTACTGTGCCCTACGTCACCGAGACGGTCTTCGTGCCGTTTATGCAGAATCTATGCGATCTGAGCGCAAACGGTTCCACGGCGAGATCCGTGTATTCGGACATTCACAGTGCGCAGCTGCTGATCTGTCTGGATCTGCTGTGGGCGTTTATGGAAGAGCACGAGATCAAAGTGTGTCTGGAGAGTACGGTGCTTCATCTGCTATCCGCCTTTCGGCACGTATCTCTGCTGCTCGAGTATCCGGACCAGTGCAAGAGTCTGATGCTGCTGAACCGGATCTGTCAGCATACCGTCACGCGGCAGCATCTGCTGCGGTATCTGCTGTTCGATCGCGTGCGTTTCGCCAACTTCGTGCACGTGAAACCGCTGGACGAGGGCGGACTGGCGGACGTGGTCGAGAAGGTCTGGTGGGAAACGAACCCTCTGGACCCTTCGGTCGAAGCGAACAAGGCCAGTTATCTGAACGCTTGCGAGCGCATTAAAGCTGCCATTTCTGGTACGATTAAATGTTTAAAGAAATAATTGAGTAATCTTTCAAAATAAAAAAATAATAATTACAATCGCTATTTTCAGAGGTGGAAGCGTTACAAGTCGAGTTGTTAATTATTTTATTAAATAATACCGACGGGACGGCCAAGAGGCCGGCATCTAGGACCATATTTTTGAGGAAGTTCAAACGCTTTGTCCAGGAAAATCTGACAACTAGTCGTGTAAGTATAAGAGATACGCGTGTCAATGAAATATTACGGAAACTCTTATATGCGCGAATCGTCTGCGTGATTATTGAGCAGTTAGCAAACCAGCAGACATTTTACCAATTCTGCAGACACCCTTGCCGATCACATTATGTTGCTTTCACCGACTTCTGGTTGCATTCAGAATTTTATGGGACTCAGAAATTGGAACAAGCCCTGTCTATATACCCTGCAGGTGATAAGGCATTATCGAGAATTTTATATCAGTTGCACTCTTGCAAAAGGAATTGACTCTCTGCCTTAGTAACGTAGACACCTTTAATCTCTCTTTCAAGCTCAATGTTTTGTTTTTATTAAACACAAAAAGCTTATACATATTTATATATATATATATATATATATATATATATATATATATATAATTTTTATATATGTATATTCTTTTGAAAAAAAAAACCGCTTGTAAAAACCGCTTGCTGCTTTTGTGTTGTCGTGTTTGTCACAGCTGCGTAAATGAATGTACTTGAGGCTCTTATAATTCTCCTTTCGTTTTTCTTTTTCAAATGTGAATATACATGTAAGCACTCGCTTCTCATACATGATTATTATTATTCGCAAGTATTATTCAGCGACGTTTAATTTACGTAATAGCCATTTCCTTATAAATTGGAATGGGCAGGGCGTTCTACGATGCGTCAATCAATTACTCTGGAATCGACAGACTTGGTGGTGTGTTAAGCTACTTAAACAAGACATTCAAGAAAGAATTGATAAGACTGCTAGGTCCGGATCATGAGGTGATTGTTGCTATGGAACAACAGCAACAACAGCAGCAACAACAGACCACGGCAGCGTCCGCGACGTCGAATAACGCGTCGGGACCGCTGGTCGACATGCCAGCGGTGGCGATTTACCCTCGCCTGCTTACCGCCAACTTGCCGGCGCTAGCGAGCCAAGGTAGTTCTAGAATACTGCAAAGAATCGGATTCTTTATACATACTACAGAAGATAGGACTCCAATACGTCATGGTGCTGCAGATCCGGCGACCTCATTGTTGGAATTATTAGACGGTATTATCTTGTTCTACCATGTAGCGGCGAGTAATCAAGTGTCCAAAGTGGCGAGTCTGCGCGACAGTATGACCGCGTATGTGAACGCGATCGCTGACACCAAGGCGAAACTCGAGCGTATCGAGTCGATTCTAACAAGCGATCCCGACGCAGAAGCGATTCAGAAAGAACTGCTCCGCGCGACCGACGTGTTCCATAAAAAACTGGCGGAGCAGGCGAGGCACATGGCGTGGATACGAGCCGCCGTATACTCGGAGGAGAAGCAATCACAGTTGGCCTGGTTGCTCAAAGTGGTGACACTAACCCTGCAAACCGCCAGCCAGCAGGGCAACATGTTCAGCTACGTGCCTGATTTCTATCTCGAGACGCTGTTCGATCTGTGTGTCAATCTGCGCGTCCACGTACATCCCACGGCGCCGATCGAGAACATTCCGAATTATCGGGAGATGCTGCGCAATGCCGCCGAGTTTCTGTGCGATCACTTCCTCGATTCGCGCATAGTAAACGCCAATTCCAAAGACGCGTTAGTGCTCATACTCGCTGGCTTCGTGTCGAATCCGATGACGCTTGAGGCGTTGGAGAACGTGCCGCGCGAAATTAGAATCAAGTTCGTGATGAATCTTCTTAAACCGTACGAGAATCGCGCGTGGGCGCAGTCCAACTGGGTCCTCGTCAGATTTTGGCAGGGCAACGGTTTCGCTTACCGATACGAAAAGAGTCCGCATCTTTCGAAGAAAGTCGGTCCAAAGATGGTGCAGCAAGAAGCTATCTCTCTGCCCATAAGTACGTTTTATTTTTTGTTTTTCAAGAGGCACAAGTTTTTGGATTTTGTGCGTTAAGTGATATTTTACATACTTTGTTGCCTTATCGTTTTAGAACCATGTCCATCGGAAGTGTATCAAGCGCACGTAAGAGAGGTACTGTTGGACAATCCTCAGGTGTCCGCGCAATTTTTAAATTCATTGTTGAATCAATTGAATTGGGCGTTTTCCGAGTTTATCAGCATGGTACAAGAGATCCATAACGTTTCGTCGCGACCGGAGCGAGTGTTTATCGAATCGAGACAATTAAAAATCTGTTCTACTTGCTTCGATCTGTCGGTCTCGTTGCTCCGTGTATTAGAAATGATCTGTACGGTGGCTCCAGGCGTTTTCAACGACCCTACACAGTCTTCTAGCGAAAGTCTGCTGGGTAGATTGTGTCAAGTGAGTAAAACAAATTGCATCTTCGTAAGTGATTGACTCAAATCGTACAATCGTGTTGTGATTTTAGTTACTCTGCCAAGTGTTGAACAGGATGAGCTCACAGGCCAATTGTTTTCAACACGTAGTGCAGTTGGATATCCCTGATCTGGATCCCGTAGATCACTTTCCCATGCTGGCGGCTGTTATTGGCGTTCTGTTGGCTCTTCTCGAAAAGGAGATGAAAGATTTTGCAGGCAAGTATCGTAATTGATGCGAAAACACGACGTGCAGTGTGAAAGAAAACCTGAAGTCTCAGTCGTGTTTTTTTTTCTCCTTTCAGCAAATCCAACGCTCGATGTATGCAAAGTCACACGAAGTTTATTGACAGAACCGAGCTTTCAGATCAGTTCTTTGTATTTTGTTCTGGGCGATACTGAGAAAAATGTAGAACCAGTAACGAAATCCGCGGAACCATTTACGAGAACTGTAGAACCGTTTTCACTTACAAAATGTAGGTATTTTTGTTCTGTTGTAAAGTATATTTTTAATCGATAATGAAATACTATCATACGCTACTATCAACTTCAGCTCATATTTTTCACTATTTCTTTGCAGACGAGGCTGATGTGACAGCAGAAGAAATCAGCCGAGTGATAGAGATGATAAAATATCTTGACAACTGTCTCGCGCGTTTACCCGACAGCAAATTAATAGTAGACGACGACAACATTTGCACGATTTGTTATGCGTTTCCGATTGCGGCGACATTTAAGCCCTGCAGTCATCAGACGTGTCGCACTTGTATAGATCATCATTTGCTCAACACCAGGGAATGTTTCTTTTGCAAAGCAATCATAGACAAGGTCGAAGATCTGAGCGGGAACACATTGCATGATTTTGCCGGCCAAGTCGCGACTTCGGAAACGGCTTCCTGACAAGATTATCTCGCAGATTATTATATATACTGAATAAAAAAAAAAAACTTTATTGAATTCCTCGCTGCATCTTCGATGCGTTAAGCATCGAGTTTCTCCTGGCAAAGATACTGTGTAAAATTTTAATTGTGTACGATGATAAGAAAAAAAAATTATCCGTGAAGAATTTAAGATAAATTAAACGCAGAGAGAGAGAGAGAGAGAGAGAGAGACTCTGTGCTTAAAAGGAGTATCAAGGAAAAAACCTTTATTTATAAGTATAATACATATCTACATTATTAATAAGCACATTTTGATGGCAGTAAGTGAAAAGATTATATATAAAATACGTATAACGATATCTGCCTCTTGAAGCAGAAGTTGCTTCACGTGTGAGTCCATCGGTAAAAATTTGCTAATAAAAATTATATATATGTATAATAGTCCTTTCTTTTTAATTGATATGTACATCATCAGTCTTTTTGTTGATATGTCACGTTACATGAGAATAAAACCAACGACTTTCCTAATCTTCTTCCAAGTGTCTAGTCTGCATGAATATTTGTAGAGAGCATGGCACGCTATTGTAATGAATTGTGATGTTTTGTTGTTGTTATCTGTTGCTTACATTTTTGCAATTTCCGTCACTCAAAATGTGATAATGTACGTTCATACTAGTAAAAAAAAAAAAGGAAAATCGAAACACACAGTGCAAAAACTATAAGCAACACTGAACAGACTTATAATATTAAGACTTTATATACGCTTATATGTAATAATATACATAGAATTATAATATATATAATAATATATGTATGTATGTATATATGTATGTATGTATATATAGTATATTATATGAGTATGCATATAATAACTATATTATACTATTTTTGTATACTATATATTATACTATATATTACAAATCCTATATAAATTATCACTACGCACGTATATATCTCACATGCACTTATTGCACAATTCTTAAAGCATATTTAAACGCATAAATTGTCCTTGAGCTGTCTAAAGCCGGTGACCAGTGGCGGTTTAATCGGCGATTTAAACAGGTCGTGAACAGCCTCGACAAAGACGACGCCACACGCGAAACCGCCGAGCACGGTTAAGAGGATCGCGAAAGCAATCAAGAAACGATCTTTGTTCAAATGCAATTCCGGATCCTTGAGAACTACGCTTTGTAACAGGCAGACGCCAGGCAGTACGAAGATAAATATCGCAGACAGAACTCCCATCAAGTTGATGATCTGCGAAATGTCCGGAATCAGAATAGCGATGATCAGCGACATGAGGTACCACACCACCGTGACACCAACTCGGATGCGGATTCGATCTAGGTCCACGTTGAACATTCCAAGAAGTGCATCACGGCCGCAATACAGCACGATGGGATAGGTAGTGAAGCTCTTGATGGCAATGGCGATTATCGCAACAGCCAGGATAACGCTTTTGTCGGTGTAGCCTTGTAGAATATCACTCGGCACATTCCCAGTGCCGAACGTGATATAGCCGTAATAACCGACAATGGTATACGCGCCGAAGCAGATCAGCATGCTTATCACAGCACACAGCGTAAATTTGTTGAGATTACGGTCCTGCATACAGGCGTAAGTTGGTATCGCTGTCATGTGACTCTATATATAAAATAAAACAAATATATATACGCATTGTTGTATACTATACATTTTGTTGTTCTGATGTTTTAGGTGATACATTAAATGACGAGATAAATCAAATTCGTCTCATAAACTAAAAATGTTCGAATACCTGATAAGCAAAGCATATAATAGGCACTATATGCAGTATTTCGTATTTGTTGTCTGGCCAAATTTTTATGACTTTATGCTCGCTGTCGCTTTGATCGGTGAAACTTTTGTAAGCTATCAACCACGTAACATACACGATGGTCACGCAACCGAGAGAGCTCGCGTAACTCAGAACGTCAAGTCTTTTAAAAAAGCATAGCGGCAATACGAACACGGTGCCAGTTAAAACTGTTATAAATGGTCTCGATAAGTACCTGTAAAATCAAATAATTTAAATGTACAAATTAAAAACCTAAAAAACAAGTTTGTAACAAATTTTTTTTCCTATTGCGGTGATTACCAGGTGTGACAATAGTCACGTCCATAATATGTAACAAATACTCGGTCGAACTGATCGCCGACAATGATTAAGAACGTTAAGCAACAGCCAAAACTGTAAAGAACTACAAAGATCCCGCACATTCTAAGCACTTTAGGTCCGCATAGTCCAGCAAATGTATCTTGCATAGTGTTGGTGCGCGTATAATCGCTACAACTGGCTAATATCACTAGTGCGACTGTAATGAATATAAGGAAAAAAATTTGAGCAACTATCGAAGTTCCTACTCCGCCAGCTCTGTCGAAAGCTTGGGGAAAATTTAACAATCCAGCTCCCAGTGTAGCGTTCACGATTAAAAAAATTGTTCCAAAGCTTCCAGCACCTGAAATATAAAACATTTCTTTTCCAGAAAAACTGTTCTGTGGTGTGTATCTCACTGTGATATTTTCCCACTTATGATCTAGTGTGTGTCTATGTACATAATTGATAATATTTTATATAAACCATAGAAATCTTTAAGACATATTCCTGCATTTAATATGAGATTTGTCGTAATTTTTTCATTGTTACGGGCACCTATTACGTACACAGTCGGCTGCGTTCAGCAGAACTCAGCGCTTAGCAAGTGCTTCGCGATTATTGCTTTTCATTGGTATATACTTTCATATTTGCAATATGATTTAAAGTAAGGGACCAATCACAGACAATAAGCGCAAAGCGCATGCTGATGGTATGCTTTTGTTTTTCTGTTCTTTTGTTTTATTACCGTAACCGAGCGCGGAACGATACTTATTTGTATCTGTGCGCACTGCGCAGTACATATATACTTATAGCACGGAGTGCTTTGTTCAACGACGTACTGACTGCCACTCCCGCCGAAAGCGAAAGTGTTAAAAAAGATCTACAGAAACGTGTAAGATAATACTCTGTTATACACAAAAGAATGCTAATTATGTTGCATTACGTACCTTTTCGAGTTTCATTATTGCGCGCAGCAGAAGGACTCGGTGCAGTCGACAAAACCACATCTGTAACCATATGGTCAGATTCACCTGTCAGGTAATCCATATTAGCTGTAATCCAATTTAACATTTTATCGAACTGTTGGCTTCACGCTTTGTTCTTATCTTTGAATGTTGCTCCTCCTCCTTTGTAGATCAAAGTCCTCCAGTTTACATATGAGTATGCATGAAACAAAAGTCAGAATTATTGAAATTCAGTAAAAATATACATCTATAAAAAATGTAAGTTTAACCTTTTGCAAAGTGATGAAATAGTTTTTGCCGCTATATTACTAACCTATATAAAACCACGTTGAACTTACATATAGTTGACCTCACAGAGGTAAAGGAGGGAGCATTAAGGGATAGTATAGGCGCGGGGAGTGAAGCCATGGTGCGGGGGGGATTTGACCTCTAAGCAACCTTCAGTCATATTTATTATGGGCCACTAGTACTGCTATCTATCTGATAAGAGCGATATTATTTGAACACATTGACGTTGACGTACTAATCTGTAGTGACAGGAAGAAATTGTGAAAGTTTTTAGTAAAGAGAAAATTAAGAGAAGAAAGAGAGATAAGTAAGACAGAATTAAATTAAAATAAGTCTTCCGCAATCTACAACACATTACATTACATTTAATACTATAGGCTTAAATTTATAGTTAATAATTAACATAACATTAAGCGTTATGGATGTTCCAAACTTAAATTTTATACTTATTTTAGAAAAAAATTAATTATAAAAATGGTGCATTATATAGCAAAAAATTGCCACAATAGGTCATCAGAAAATCTAAACAACAAGAGGAGTTAGAAAAATATGTACAGACAAGATATTTTTATATTGCAAAACAGAATAATATTAATAAAAATTTTTTTTCCCTTACTTTTTTATTTACCTATATTTATTAAATCTTATAAATATGTATAATATTATATCTATAATTACTATTTATTAAAATTAGTTTCTTTTTTGTTAATTTTTTAAGTAAATATGTTTATTACATTTCTTAAAGTATTATTCTATTTTATCTCCGTGATTCTATTGTGCATTATTTCATCGAAGTATTGTGAAATACTAACAGATGGCAGTACTAGTGGCCCATATGAACATGGCTGACTAGGCTTCATCTTTTTTCGACAACGTTCCCGCCTTTACCTCCGTAATTGACCCGCCTGAACTCAGTTTATGGCGCGTTCAGTTTATGTTGTAGTTCGTCATGCTTTCTCGTGGTTTTTCGGGGTTTTTCGGAGTTTTTCGGACTTATACATATTCGTCATTGAATTGCAGAGCATCTACTGGTCAGTTTTTCGTATATTCAATGTTTAACTCTAAAATCATCTTAAGTTTTTTCTTCTGGAGCCATTAAAATGTACAGCATCTTAAGACAAACTCGAAATAATTTTAAATTTCGAGATCAAAATATGAATATCGATCTGAAAAAAAGATGACATGTATAAAAAAAACAGTATTCTTAGTCCTGATACATAAATATCCATTGATGTGATACTGTTGTATACTGTTGATAGTTTTTACAAGTACAAGAAAAGAGTACAGTACAAGAATCAGAGAGATAATAGGTGTTAAATAGTATTAAAAAATAATATAACATATAAACTATCTGCATAAGGGACTGGAGACATCTAAAAAACTAGAAAAAAAGGTTGTTTTATGATTAAGCTATGTTCTCACCAATGTAAAGATTTCTGTCCATTATTTTACATCTTCCTGGGTTCCAGTAGAGCAATTCTCTGTAACTATTTTATATTAACAACAATAATTACATTCAGAAAACTCAACGGTTGAGAGATCATCACTTATGATACGACTATTCTTCAAAACCTGCTATGGTTCCAAAAGTATGATCCAATCATAAGTGATTATCTCTCAACCGTTGTGCAACTGTTGAGTTGTCTGAACACACCCAATTTTGCTATCATTGCGTGGATAAAATAATTTTTTTTTAATAAAAAGAAAAACAATCTTCTATGGCAAGGAACTAATCATTATAAACAATGATCATGACCGTCACGGATCCAGTTTTTTATCAGTACCCAATTTTTGATCAGTTTGTTAAAAAAATATTATAGTAAGGTTTTGGTCATCAAAATTAGTCCGAAAAGAGATATGTACCTATATAGATGTCGGAATAATTATTATGCCAAAATGTTTTCTGGACTAATTTTTATGATTAAAATCTTACTACAATATTTTTTTAACAACTGATTAAAAATGAATTGAATACTGATCAAAAACTGGGTCCATGACGGTATATCTTGAGTATACTTATCATTATTAACTAATATCATTTATAGCCTGCGTTTCAAAATTGGATAATATATGTTGCATACATTATAGATTTTCAATATATTTCTGGTGTGAATATTGGAACGCTGATACGCAGTTTGCAACGTCTGCTTAATCGATTATAGTCGACGATGGTATGTTGACCATGGTCAACTGTAATAGCAAATTGTCACAAATATATTAAGTACTATAAAATAAAATCATTGTTTTTCTGCACTGTCTACTTTTTTTTTGGTATTTCTGATTGTCACAAAAAAGACGTTGTCCACGCGATACAGAGTCCATCAAGTAACATGAATCTTTGTAAAACAATTTGATTAGAGAAGTAAACAATACCTCCAAATGTTAGATATGATGTCTGTACAGTTTAGATAACAATATTTCAGATAACATGCGTCACTGAACAACTCAGCTGATTGACTAATCTAACCTTCACTGTACAATTTAGGATTAGGTTAGGTTAGGTTCCAATTTGCCGGTAATTCCCGATCTGTCGATTTCCACGACCGTCCTGACAGAAGGTATATCCGTCAACGAGAGTAGATAACGAGGAGAACAGACAAACACGCGACAGAGAAGTAAAACAGCAACTTATTTGGCTATGTTTCGACGTGCATTTACGTCGAGTTTTCGCCGTATATCGGTAGGTTGACAGCTCTTACACATCTTCGCGTAACATGGATTTGAAACCTTTTATCTGCATATTTTTCTCAAAATTTCTTTTCCTCTATCGTTCTTCTATTCAATATCGAAAACGTTGTAAGAAAGACTGAGATGGAAAACTACTAAGTTAGAAATAATATTTGATAATTTAAAACTTTTGATGTGTTATACATGTGTATTTTTTACAATTTAAAACTTATCATGTATGTATAGCATAAAACACTAGGACTCTCTCTCTCTTTTGATTTGGTAAGACTAATATAAATCCCTTTACTTAAATCCTTAATCCTGTCTCTCTCCGGAAATATTTTGCGTTCTGTAGATAAATGATAACATTCAAGAAAACCGCAGTGAAAAAGATGAATAAAACCAAACTGTTGCAGTTGCTATCACGATTGTGGAATGGACCTAACGGCGTGCTTGCAGGTAAACAGGCTGAGGAAAGAATGATAACCATTCTCAGAAATAGGTTTCCTAAAGCCGAGGTGATTGAGGTTACTGATGTATCAGGTACAAAAAAAAATCTGTTTTGTATTTTAATATTTATTTTGTGAAATATTTTGAATATTTTATAAATGCTTCCTTGAAAATTTTTATAGTATAATATTTAATCGCAACACTGATACGTATTGCAGGAGGCTGTGGTGCTATGTTTGACATAAATGTGGTTGCCCCAGAATTTAAAGGACTAAACACAGTGAAGCAACATCGAATTATTAATGAGGTAAAAAAGATCATCTTGTATAAGTTGAAAATAATTATCATAAAAGTGTCATATTTTGTAATCAACTCGTTTCACAAACAAGGTTCTCAAGGAGGAGATCAAAGATATGCATGGTCTTCGAATACGTACAAGTGTTCCACAATTGTAAATTTTGATATGACAACTTTGTGTCGCGTTAGTTTCACAAGAGCAATACTTAAATACTGATCTAAATAAGATCGCACAAATCTTGAAGAGATTGACGTTATACACATAGGTATTTTGATATAATTTGTATATAAAAATCTTATGAAATGTTATTAAAAACAACTGTGAATGGAAAATGAGAGAAGAGAAATTACTTAAAATATCAGGGAAACGAAGGATAAAAATGTGACATTATCGGTCGTTTCCCAGTTTCTGTAGTTTCGTAAATTTGCATATTTTTTGATCCACACTTGATTCAAACACGAGAATTTATCCACTAGAATAGTCGAAAATATATTCTAGATTCAATATGATTTTAACAGCAAGTAATCACTCTGTAATAGATTTTAAATTAGAGAAAGATGTGAAGAGGGAGATAAAATGTAATAAAAACTGAATATATATTGCGCAATTACAGAAACTTTATTACAACTTCTTTCTTTTGTGATTTATATGCTGCCATTTTTTTATGTGCACAGAATGAGATTAAAAAATTGTTGCTTTACAATTTGAATTTCATTATGTAGTTGCAACTTGTTGAAATTACAATAATATTCAGGATATATAGTTTTTAAACACTGGTAAAAAATTTGCCGCTATTTTCTTACGTGAATAATAAATTACAAACTATAAATATAGACTATATGTTGTAGTCGAGTTTTCAGTGATTCCGCTATTTCTTGTTTTATTTCTTCACCAGATAGCCCCACACTGGTTCTAATAGGCCGGTATTCGTAGTCTGATTTCTTATATATATTTAAAATTGTTTTAAAATAATTTTAAAATGTTATACAAGACGTTTTCTTGGCTACAGAGTGTCTCAAGAGAAATTTAAGATGATTTCAAATATAAGATTCAACTATGAATATTATAGCCAGATATATTTGAGTCTTAAGCTTATTTTCAGATTATCCTATTCCAATGAAACATAGCTTTCACATAGCATCTTAAATGGGATAAACTTAAGACAATTCAAATAATAGATCAAACCATAAATACCGGTCACAATAGTCCCGTTCGGTGAGAACTTTGCAAGGTAATTACATGATTCAAGCAATAACACACACGATATACATATGTTCACAATGATAAGTATTAAATTATTAAAGGAGAAGGCCAGTAGGAATCTAAACACCGATGTTGATGTGGTATATAAAATAGTTTGTCAATATAAATTTGCTACGTTCCGATCTGAGGTTTAGGTCATTTTTGTTTTTAGATTATTGAATATTTTTTATTCTAAGTGAAGTATAACTTGCATTGTTTGAAAATGATCGAAACGTAGCAAACTTATTTATATAGTTTATTTCAATAAACTATTTTATATAACAACAATATATCGGTATCTGGACTCCTATTATTCTGGATTTCTTTTTTAAATAACTTAAATGTTGGAGCCAATCCTCGATTAATAAATATTAAGTAAAGACACGGCAAAAATACATAATTATATAAATAAAAGATTTATAAATATTTTATTTTAAAATAAATGCACACGGAGCACACACACACTGATATTAAAATATATAGAATACTCTTGAGAAAATATATAAAACTAAAATTATAATTCTAGATTAAGTACGTGAAATAAAATAAATATCTTATTATACAGAGACGTAGTTAAGTTCTATAAACTTATTTAGCTACAGCAGAGAGAAGAATGAGAGCGGTCACAGTCGGTGTTCTCATAGCACGGAATAGAACCATGTCCACAAAAAGTGATTACACATTCTCCTATTGGCCGTGGCCGTGGCCGCTCTCATTCTTCTATCTGGCTACATACTCGCACACTCTCTCGGAAAGCAATAAATATTTTACGCGACAAAGAATCCTAACACAAAAGCTCTCTTTAATTTTTATATATCTTAAAATACTTTATACATCTATTTTTATTTATAATAATTTAGTGTTTGAAAATTTCGCGAATATGCATATGTATATACATCTATTTATATATTCTAGAAAAGGAAGGGACCAGTTTTACCTTCTCCAGATAACTTAATCTTTGAAATTCACCGGTGTAATTCGATCGGTCGATAAAGTTGATGGCGATGTACCGTCCGGGTAAGTTGAAAAGTTGGTAGAATTGATCCTTACTCTCTTATCGCACGGAGACTTATTACGCGGGTTTTTGCACGGGACTAGACTAAAAGTTTAAAAACTAGATTTTCGTCCATGGACTGAGATCGTGTACTCTACTAGGTGAACTGAGAAAAGACCGGATATACCCATGCTGTGCATCGAGAAATTGCAAACGAGTGTTGGTCCCGGCACGCAAGAGATTATCAACCGCACGGAATCTGAGTAAATAAGCTGCGACAATTTTTTACCGCTTTAATCACGGACACAATTTGCGTACCAAGTATGTGTCATTATAGAAATTTACAGATAACCTTTGTATAACGAGGTACTTGAACAACGCGATATTTCGATATATGCGGTTTACAAATTGCGATAAAATGGAGTCTAACCCCGTTTTTTCAATATTGCGCTTACGCGAGCCTCGTATACGCGTGGGGCATTTCTATATAGATCGGAGTATCCGCGTTATACGAGGGTTACAAAAGATTGAATATGTATTTACAGAAGCGCGTAATCGCACAATTACGTTCTGTCAGCTGATTTATTTGGATTATTTTTGCGCGCAATTTCTCTTCGCCTTCCCTCGAGAAAACTTTTCGAGTTGGTTGTCCATGAACTGTCTGACTAGATTTCACTCTCTCGTATCATACTTATATGTTCTCATACATATTCGTATTAAAAAAAAAAAGTAATAATCATAAATTATTAAAATAAGCACAGCCGCACATAATATTCGAATGGGAGTTTCAAAAGTTAATTAATTTGTCAAATGCGATTGAAAAGACGGTTATTAACAGATATGTGACTAGATGAACAACTGAAAAATGAGATTTTACATTTTTTCGTCTTTTAGTGTGGTCTTAACTAAACTTCGCTTGGAACAATGCGAATTTCTTTCTTTTTTCTTAATACGTATGTAATGAGTATAAGTATCCTAAAATATGCGTATCTATAATGTGTGACTATTTATCTATTTAATACTAAATATATGTTTATACTACATTTATATGTGTAAAATAGCTGCTTAAGGGCTTGTTTTTTTTCGTTGTTTTTTTTTTTTTTTTTTTTTTTTTTTTTTTTTTTTAAAAAAAAAAAAAAAATGGAAAAAAAAAAATTTTTTTTTTTTTTTTTTTTTTTTTTTTTTTTTTTTTTTTTTTTTTTTTTGGATTATAGAAAGAAAAGCTAATACAAACGCGCTAATGTGTACAGAGGCACTTTATACATATTTTGCACAAAACTCAATTTCTCTTTACTTGCTTATAGCCAGAGTTTTGGTAAAACTAATAAAAAAAAATTGTTTTTTCAATAAATCTGATAATCTAATTTCTAATTTTTGAAATAAATTCTCTGTGAGTTTATTAATACTAAATGATTGCAAGATACTGGCACTTTTCCCAAAAAAATATATTATCTTACCTATATATTTTGTAAATATAATTTATACATATGTAACCTAAATTATCTTATCTCCGTGTATTGAATTAAAAATTTTAGCGAAATATCTACTGCCAATGAGAAAAACTAATTGAAGAGAAATAGTCGATCAAAAATAAATAAAATTGTAAGCACGTTGATATTTTGAGATTTGTTTGATATACACACATGCAATTTTATTATAAAATTATAATACTACACACTAGTACATACCTGTGTATAGTATCACCTGTGTATATATCAGTATATGGTGTATATGTTTCTTCATTAAGAGATTGGACTAACGGTTATTTAATATGTTCAGTTGATATAAAATATAAAGATACGTATGGCAGCACATTCACGGACTTGTATAATATACAAACGTACAAACTATAATACTGATGGGGAGAACGAATAATAATATTATTATTATTAAAAAGACAATATAAATTATATGCGCATTACGTTATGGAGTAATAATGTATGCATATGTAATCGTAATTTAAAACCAAGATTGCATTTATTAGTGGCCTGCGCACACACATACTTTACTTCGAATAATAGTGCTCTTAATTGTTTTCTTTCGACCGAGCAGAGATAAAAATGAAACGCGATAGATATACACACACAAAATGAAGAATGTGAACTGCTGTGAGAGCCGCTGAGAACGGAAAAACTGGAGAACACTGTTATTTGCCTTTTTTTTTCTCCTTTACCGTCTCTTCGGCTCTGTTAGCGAATATTGCACATAAAAGTCAGTAGAGAGCAATCGTTTCGGGAAATAAACGTTAAAAGAGAGTGACTAAAGTATTATTACACGTATACGTCAAACTAAAATGTAATTGCTTGGCGCATATAATACTGGTATGTATGACTCGAAGGGAAAAGTGAATTGTAAGTAAAAAGGATTAGAAAATGTGTTTCTTGCAAAATAAAACAAATGGAAGACTAAATGACTAAAATTGGTTAGAAACGACTAGAGAAGGACTAGAATCGATTAAAAACTGACTAGAAATGACTAGAAATGACTAGAAAATGACTAGAATTGACTAAGGAATGATTAAAACCTAACTGCAAGGGATAAAAGCAAATAGTAAGTACAAGCAAGTGTTGATATTTTTTTCGAATATTTAAAATATTGAAACTCGAAGCAAAACTTCTCTCGAAATATTCAAGAAACTTCACATAATTTATATAAACTTTTTTTACTTTTTGTCATTTTTGTGCGCACTTTTTACTACACGCGTAAAACTACTTCTATTAAATTGTTTTGCTTATATTTACATTCAAGTTAGTGTTTATAAATACAAAAGATACTATAAGATATTGATAACGCTAGATTTGACTTATATTCTTTGACATTTTAACGTAATGCGCGTACGTATACCACGTAAATTTTCAATACGTAAACTTTTTGCGCGTTGATTTCTTTTTTTATTACACATTTCTTGTCAGACTTCTTCTATATAGCACATATCCCTAAGTAAACGACAAGTATCATAGAAAGTAAAATACTTTTTTTTTTGACTAGATTAATAGAATTTAATTAAATAAATACGCGAAACTATATATTAAATTTGATTTTGCGTTGTACTTTGTTAGCTCTTGCACTTTTTCAAAGTTGTGAAAAATAGTCACACATACACTTAACCATAATTTAAAACTAAGTTGCTCTTATCGCGTCAGGTTGAATCGTACTTAAATTATATAAACTTACATAATAAAAAAACGCTCGGTTGAGAAAATTTTCATTATCTGTAGCATTCAGTCAATTATTTTAAAGATAAACAATCTTGGAATTCGTATTACAAACCTTTTGTAGTGTTTTTTTTTATTGCACAATGAGGAATATTTTCATAAACTAAAATTTTTGCAATAATGCGATCATACATATCTAAAA